TTTGCTATAGACTCCCAGGTAGAGGTCTTTTCTTTCTCGAGAGAAAAGAACCATTGTTGGCAAACGGTCTCGAGAGATAGTGAGAAAAGAGAAGGGAAGACCTTCTTATCAATACCCTTGATACTCATTATTGTTTCAAATGCTCTTACATGGAAGTAAGGGTTGTCAATTGCTCTGAATTTTGGGATGTCGTTGGCGTTGAACTTCTGTGGAAGAAGATCTTTGTCCACCGAGACCCCTTGTGATGTAAGCTCTTAAAACTTGTAGTCGCCGGACAACTTGCTTAGGCTCTCTTGAATGAGGTCCATTTGCTGTTGCTTCACAGGATCGTCGATCCTAAGTGCGAGAAGCTTCAGTGTCTCAGTAACAATAGCCAGTTGGTTCTTAAGATCATTGACTTCTTATTGAGTTGCCATTATAACCCTAGCTTTTCTCTTGCGAGCTATAGGTTTGTCGAAAAGTTGGACTTGTACGAAGAGGTTATCTTTGATTAATCGTCCTTCCTTTCTTGACCACGCGCTGTAAATTATACCATTTTGCATTTTAATTACTTGACTCGAATCATCTTGACTTTATGGTTTATTTTAAGGAAAAAAAGAAAAAGAAAAGGGTGCATATTTTTGGCAAAAATAATGTACATATTTTTAGGGAATTAAGTATTATTATTTTTATTGGAGGATTAATATCTGACTTACCCCCCTAAAAATATGACGGAAAAACGCGCACACAAGACTCTCTTAATCATGGTCAAAGTATGTGTACTGGTGTGTGCGTTGAGTGTAAGTGACATGCTTGGACTCTTGTGTAAGACCATGGGACTTAGTGCCTAAACTCGATCATTGATTCAATTAAACATTATTGTCAGCGAAATTAACCGAATTAAACAGAAAACTGATTAATTAGACCCTAGGTGATGACTCGACCAATAATCCGAACTGTCGGCCAAGCGACAGGACTGGCGTCACACTGTGGATCTTGGCGCCAGACAACATAGCTGTCGTCAGGCGCTACACTCCATCGTGTGGCGCTACAGCTCAGACCTTGGCGCCAATAGTGGAGCTTCGGTCTAGGACTGTTTTCGGTGTTATTAGTCAACTGGGGTATGCCTAAAGTCGTACTAGGTCAATTCCGATTAAAAAAAAGATAGACTTTTATTGACTCAAATTAAATAATTAATTAATTAATTAGGCAAAGTTCTTTAAGTCATTAGTTTATTTAATCTCAACACAAGTCAACAAACGGTTAAGAGAGACATAGAATATATATGCACAACAAATGATGCACAATTAATCAAGTAGGCACAATATGATGCAATGCATTCGCAACCTAACAATGGCTCTAGTTCTCTAAAGTTCGGAATATTGTTTAGTCAAAGAGGGTCCATGGTTAATTGTCCGGATGCACCGCGCGGAAGCCTAACCGTGAAGGGTTGGCGCGAGTGGATGAGACACCGCGAATTTTAGAACAAACTCGCTTCCATGGTTTGGTGAATTCAACATCTCGGATGTACCCTTTGTTGCACGGAGCGTTCAATCAGGTAGATGGAGCATGAATTCCCAGAGGCTTACGTCCATATGTAGAACACATATGGGTTTCAGAAAAGTGAGAAAAAATTCAATCAGGAAGTAGGATCGAGCAAACAATACGAAAAACCGGTCAAAATTAGAACGCATATTTCTGGCTCGGTATTGGGGGAAATTGGCGCCAGCAATCAGAGACTGGCGCCAGCTTTTAACTGTAGCGCCTGGCGCCAATACTGGCGTCTGGCGCTACGGTTAAAATTCTGGCGCCAATGCTCTGGCCCCTGACGCTACTTCCCACATGCCTCAGCAGCTTTCTGTGCTCGATAAAATTTTCCAGTTTCGCGCGGTGTTATTTCAGTCCTAGTTGTGAAAGATATTTCTCAAATTTCCTACGTGTAAAATCCAATGTTTTAACTCATTACGGATGGTCTTTCCAATGAGATCTTTTTTTTATGCATATGACAATAATGTTAATCAAAATTACGCACATGAAATACTTAGATCGTTTCGAGTCTCATCCACTCATTCTAAATCATTGCCGAAACAAATTCTAGAATTAAAATAGAAATCGTCCCCAGTGGAGTCGCCAAAAAACTGTAGGAACAAATTTCAAGCTTTAAACCCATAGCTTGAACCCCACTGTGATCATACACTAAAGTACGGTGGCGTCCAAAAGGGAAGAAGATAGAGCAAAAGAGTCGCCAACAAGTTTTTTTAAGGAACTTGTAAACCATTCATAGGATGAAGGTTACACCCCTTAACGATCCAAGAGATCGTCAACTCCATAAGGTCTAGAACCAAATAAGGGTTCGGGGATGAAGGTACAAATCCAACCTAAAAGAGATTGAACCTGCCCTAATAATAGGTCTCTACTTCATTCTGATTGTATTCATGTGCGCTTTCTAATTAACATGCAATCAATAGGATTAACCCTAAAACTGTTTATCTATGTTGGTTGAATATAATGCACAAATAAATCTATTATTGGCGATCACTTGAATTATAATCACATTAACCCTAGACAAGATTATTAAATATCTTATTAAGCGTGATTACAAGTACCAAAATTCCCTTTAAACATGCAATAAAGGCGTGATCAAGCAATAACAATAAATAGCATCAAGCAACATAATAAGTAATCAATCATTAGAATAAACATGAATAATAATAATCATCATAAAAATAATAATAATAATCATAATCATCATAAATCATAACAATTATAATCATAATCATGTTCATGTTAATATTAAAGCATAATAATAATAGCAAGATCCTAGGCATGATACTAACAAGATTAATAACAAACCCTAGCATGTCACTAAGCAATAAAAATCAAATCTTTAACCCTAACATGATACTAACAATCACAAATATTAGGAAGAACATAGGAAGCATCATAGGAATCATATTTAATATTAAAATTACCCTAGACATGATACTAGGAATATCACAATAACAATGTAAACATGATTTCTACATCATTATATCAATAAAACTAATAAAGTACTTACTTTGATGCTTCGTACCTCTTTCTAATAACAAAATACACACGTTAGTAACTTCAAGGAAAATAATAATCAAACAATTAAATTAAATAATTGAAAGAGAGATTTGGGACCAAACCCTCAGAAATTAAAACCTTTCACGTCTAGGGCGAAGGCAACTTCGAATATGGCTAAGTGTTTCTAGATCTTGTGAATGCGGAATTTTGTATGAAAAGCAAAGCAAGAAAGAATTGAATGAATGCTAATTAAAACTGATTGTAGATCATGAAAATTGGTGAATGATTAGAGAGAATAGGTGATCGGTGATGAATGAAATTAATTAGTCCCTCAAAACGGAGTTTTTAATACGATATTTATAGACAAAATCACCCAAAAAAGATAATTTAACAAAACAGAGTCTGACGCTCAGAAAACATAGCTGGCGCCAACCCTGGCTAGCTGGCGCCAGGCACCAACACCAGCGCCAGGCGCCAATGGCTAGCGCCAGGCGCTAGGCCTGGTTCTAGGCGCCAAGGCCTGGGGTTAGGCGCCAAGCCTGATTCCAACGCGTTTTTGAAAATCCGATAAGTTTACCGTACTGGAGGATAAAATAATATAATTTCCTCGAAAATGCTATTTGATTTTGATTAAAACTCTGAAAAGTCAACAAAAGTCAATTTATCAATGCTAATTGAATTAGGAATGAAAAGAACCTTCTAGAAGATTCTAGAAGACTAAAACCATTCCTAATTGCATTAGGAATGATAAATCATATTAGGCCCTCCCCTAGATCATTGGGCCGTACATAAAGCTCAAACCGGGCCCGGTTTGGTAAATTGGCCATAACTTCCTCAATATTCATCGAAATTGGGCGTATAATATATCGTTGGAAAGGTCTTTGCAAGCCCCATCCAACTACACTACTATTGGACCCATATCATGGACCAACCAAACTGGATTGGCTGTTTTCTTAAAATAAGTTTTCAAAAACAGAGAGAAGAGAAAAGAAATAAAAACTTTCCGCAACACTAGACCTTTCCACACTTTCGTTTCATTCAATTATGATTCGACGTCAAAGGTACTCATCACTTGGTTTGGTTTTGGGGAGACACAAATGGGTGTCTACAAAGATATAAATTGAGGATTGAGAAGTTGGAGTGTTGTGGTTAAACTAGTGGTGGATCTAGCTAGGGGTACATAGAGTTACAGATGTACCCCCATTCCAAAAAAAAAAAAAAAAAAAAAAAAAAAAAAAAAAAAAAAAAACTGATACAAAAATAATAGTGCGGCTTAGGTACTGTTATCAGTAGTCAACCACGCACAACAACATATAAATAGTGCGGCTTTTTTGTATTCAATTCTAAAAGACCGCCTATTTTAAAACTAGTCTTAGGCGATATCTTTTATTTTTCACAGCAAATTTGTACTTTTGATAAAAAAAGATCTATTATTACCACAACATGTTTCTTAAACAATCACTTTTAAAAATATATTTCGTTACTCAATTATAAGCCTTGTTGTCAGAAGATAGGGTGTTTAGTATACGCAAATACTAATACAATAGTTAAATGATTTATTAACTCAAAATTTAGTTAACAATAAATTATTACACTCCACATATTACTTTGTATTTTGTAATTTTTTTTATTAAACTTAATTTCGTACCTCCATTCCCCAAATTCTGAATCTGTCACTGGGTTAAACAACTCTACAATTATATATTAGATTTTTTTTTTTTTTTGGGAGTTTGACCCTAATCTCCTTACCATCCTTCATTCATTTGAACTAATAAGAACAACCAAAATGATTGCGGCCATACGCTCTTACTTTTTCATACAATGCATTCTGTACTTTTTTTACTTAAGTTTTATAAATTTATTTATATTATCGAATTTTTGTGTCATAATTTGGTGCTCGAAACTCAATTTTATCGGGTTGCTGATCTTTGGATTATATAATCTTTTGCTAAGTCTAGTATATTAAACGAACATAACAATAGAACTTTTAATAATAATTATAAACTCATAATAAGAAAACTTACTTGAACAAATTATAGGGATTACATCCACAAAATTAAGCTAATAAATATGTAAATCAATATAAAATAGTAGTCCAAACCCCCAAATAAATTAAAAGCTTACATTACTTAAGCCGCCTTTGCTTCTAGACGATCAAAAACGATGATCCCAAATTTATATCCTCTTCAATCTTCACTCAAGAATTATTATTATCTCATAATAAAATTAATTAATCACCCATTAATCAAGGAACATATCTCTTCTTTAAGAACATCTTAGCAGTAAGTCCACAAGAAAGAGCATCACTAGGAATATCCTTAACTCTATCAACTGCCAAAGACAACACCACTCCCATACCCATATGCAAATGAGGCTCAATATGACAATGAAACGCCCATGCCCCGGGATTATCCGCCACGAAACGCAACGCGGTCCATCCGTAGGGGAATATCACGGCCGTGTTTCGCAACGGAGGGTTCTTTAAGTTAAACTTAGCCTCATCCTCCTTAGTAAACTTCCCTTCACCGTAACCTAACACCCAAAAATCATGCCCATGCAAATGCCAAGGATGAATTTCACTTGTGTTAGCATTTAATGCATTTGCATTTTGTAAAATAATATCGACCGTTGTGTTGTACTCAATTTTGTAGACCCCACTTCCAGTAGTTGTATTAGGGTTTGGTGGTGGATTCTTGATATCATAATCCCTAGGGTAATCCTCGGGTGGGCTCGTTTGGTCGAACGCGTGTTTTAACCCAAATTTCACCGACCCTAAAAATGGGGTCGGTGGGAAAACAAAGGAGACATTATTAATAGACCATTTAATATGTCCATTAATTTTGTTCTGAGTGTTGAGGAAAACGAGCCGCCGGTCAAATTTACTAGGTGGTGTTGGGGATCCCATAAGGGAGAAAATCTGCTTGGTAAATGACTTACTGTGGTTATAGTCATTCCATACAGGAGTTACTGGAGGCGAACCTGTAGGGAGTGTTTTAGCTGAAACGCCCTTGTAATGAAGTAATGTTAATGCTGGTGGTGTCTTAGGTTGACGTCCTCGAACACCAATTGAAATCCAATAATTCTGATTCGGGTTTTGATTTGTGTTTATGAGTACTGAGTAGCTTTCTCCTGAGTAAATGTCTAAGTCCTCTACTTCAAATGGTTGTACGTAGTTTCCATCTGCTTCCACTACTACCATTTTATGGTTCTGCAAATGATTATACACAACGTGAAAAATATCAATTAAGTGATCAAATTAATAAATTAGGCCAACAAGTTCTTTCAAGGTTATCCTTTGTGGTAAAACTTGTGTTGAACTACCATACAAGCAGTGGCGGATCTAGACTCGGACTTAAGATCTATGGGTTAAAATCAATTTCTTTGACCATTAGATAACTAACAATTAGATTATGTAAATAATCTAGTGTATATTACGGAGTATTAGTTTATATTTTATTAATGTATACTTTAGCCCTAACTCTGTTAAACACCATTTTATATAAAAGAGTATACTCGAATTAGGATTGAGGATACATTTGTAAATTACCAACTAATCATAGATTATCTACATAATCTAACACTTATAAGTTATAACTGATTTATTTAGCATTGACCTCTAATGGAAGATGGTAGGCTCATTCATGTTTAAATAAAATATTAAATATTGTATCGTATTTATAGGCAAAATTCATGTTTAAATAAATTAAAATATTAAACATTTTATCGTATTTATTAAAAGTATGATAAAAGAAATAGGTGAAGTAAAATCAAACCAAGAAATTATTAATTAACGATAGGGATATAATTTAACAGACAGCTAGATTCAAGCCGTCCATGCGACAAATCATGTAAAATAGTTAAATAGTGACCAAAAGAGTTTGACATATACTTTAATGCATGAGAATATGTGAATAATGTGATAGCAATCCAATTATGTCACGTTTATGTCTGAGTGTCTGACCACCTTTTCACATTTTAACATAGAATATTTTTTAATGATTATGCTCTTGAATATTCGATTGTTTTCATAGGACTTTTTCCCCTCAGCTTATCATTCACGTCTGTCCAAAATCAAGTGTCACAATATTTTCAATTTCTTTTTTTAAGTTAAAATTTACTACTTTTGCCTTAAATTTCATCATTTGATGATGTATCCTAAAAATATGTGAACAAACATTATTTGTGACAATTTTCCTAAAAAAAAAATAAATAAATAAATATATATATATATATATATATATATATATATATATATATATATATATATATATATATATATATATACTTGTGACAACAAATTTGGTTGTGATGGATAATAATCCATTCAATATCTAAACAATTTTAACGCATGTCTTTTTTACAAGAATTGGAGTGATGTTTTATTTATTTATTAGGATATTTTGTGAAAAACTACCTTTTATATACAACTTTTTGTGAAAAACTACCTCTTAAAAAAAATGTTGTAAATGACTACCCCTTTTTAAAAAAATGTTGTAAATGACTACCACTTGCCTGAATCTGGCCGTTGACTCACTTTTCCGGCGTTGACCACCCACGTGTCAGTCACATGACCTTTATTTTTTTTTCTTTTTTTTCTATGCATGCACCACCAGCAATGCCGCCATCTTGACCACCGCCCCACCACCACAACACCTCAACCCACCTCAAAACACCCTTACAACCGCCCCACGCATCCCAAAACCAACTCAACCCCACTTGAAACCGCCTCCACCCCGGCAAATCTAACACAAACCCTCAATTGCTCCCCAATTCCGCGACCCTCAAACAACAACATCATAACTCCTCAATTGAGGAAAGGAAAGGAAAGGATGGTGGGTTAGATTTCGAGGGTTTTTGATGCGTGGGTGGGATGAAATTTGACTAAAAATTAATAATATATTTGAGGGATTGGTCGGAAATCAAGAATCGAGGGAAAGGGGAAGGGTTTTGAGGTGTTCGGGGAATGATGAGTAGTAAATTGAAGGGGTTGGCAAGGAAAGGGCCGTCGGATTCAATGGAAGTGGGGGTAGGGAAGGGAGTGCCCGGAAATTGATAATTTGTTTGAGGCTAGGGTTGCAATAAGGTTTAAGGAGGGCTAGGAGAAAGGAGCGCTGCAAGGGTGGGGGATGGCCGGAAATTGGAAAAGGGAGGCGGAGGGGCAACAAGCGCGGCGGTCGGAAGTGTGTAGGGGTGGTCAGAAACTGGACAAGGGAGGGGAAGGTGACGACGAAGGGGTACGGGTGGTCGAAAACTAGAAAATGGAGGAGGAGGAGGGGGTGAGGGTGGTCGAAAACGAGAAAAGGCCTCCACATGGGGTGGTCAACGCCGGAAAAGTGAGTCAACGGCCAGGTTCCAGCAAGTGGTAGTCATTTACAACATTTTTTAAAAAAGAGGTAGTCATTTACAACATTTTTTTTAAAAGGTAGTTTTTCACAAAAAGTTATATATAAAAGGTAGTTTTTCACAAAAAAAAACTATTTATTATTATTATTATTATTATTATTATTATTATTATTATTATTTTGTGTGTGTGTGAATAGAAACAAGAATAAATATTGCTAGCTATAAGGGTTACTTAAAGAGATAAACATAGTCACTGTAAGTGAGGTTATTGTATAGAGGAATAAAATATAAAATTATAGTGAACTCAAGAAGCAAAGTGTTGCAAATATTTAAAAATGAACAAATCAATGTAAATAATTTTTTTTCATATTTAATTAATCCAGATTATCAACTGATGATAAACAAATTGATATTTTTAAGAATTCGACATTTTTAATTTAGGACCTAGTTACTTATACTCTATTATTTTTGAAATCTATACTTAGGCCCTGTTTGATTCACCTTAATTTTGTTGAACTGAAATTATTTTTACTGAACTGAACTTATTATTACTGAACTGAACTTAATTTTACTGAACTGAAATTATTTTTACTGAACTTAAATAATTTTTACTGAACTGAAATTATTTTTACTGATTTTCTATTATAATTCTTCTTTAAGAAAACTGAATTTTACTGAACTGAACTTATTTTTACTGAACTGAAATTGTTTTTACTGAACAAAAATTAATTTTACTGAACTGAACTTATTTTTACTGAACTGAACTTATTTTTACTGAATTGAAATTATTTTTACTTAATATTATTTTTTTAAGGTGAAGAGAATAGGGCCTTAGTATTTAAAAACAAAAACCACAAATCTATACTAAGCCATATGTCACCCTAATCACTCATATGCCACATGTCACCTAACTTAAATTTCCATTTTAATATAAAAACAAAATATATAAATAATGTTTGAGTCTTTAATCTTTATGCATTATAAAACTTACAAATTTAAGTAAGAAAATTGAGTGTTTCATATTCAATATAATAAATTAAATTTAAACTAATTAATGTTCGTTACATTAACAATAAGATAGTTTTTTCATCTCCTAAACTTAAATATAACTTAAACTAATGTGTCATTTCATCCCCTACTATATCTATGTATATATACCTAACTAAATTCACAACACCGACATTTTTCAAGAAAAATAACCTAAGTAACAACCCGTGCATCGAACGGGTCAAAAGACTAGTTATACTTAAACTCACACTGATTTATAATTAATTTGTAAAATCATTGAATTTATTGCCTCTCTAGTTACATCCTGTCTCTATTTTTTTTCAAAAGATAAAAAGTGTCTGAATTGGTCTATGCTCACTGAATTGGTCTATACTCTTTGTCAGTTTGTCCTAATTATTTATTACTGTAGACTTGTAATACAATTTAATTTTAATGATTATGAAGATCAACTCCAAGTGTCCTATTTCTTCCTGTTATTATTGCTAATCAATCAATTAAGATTGTCGGTTTACCTATCACATCAATTAAGCATCTTCCACTCAAAATATATACAACGTGATAATTTATTTTCAAGTAACAAAGTTATACTCCCTCACTTTTTTTCATCGTTTTTAAATACTTACTCCATTTTTTATGAAATTTTTTTATAATATATAATTTATTTTTCTCACCTAGTGGGCCCAACATAAATTATATTTTATGATTTCATATTTTTTTTTTCCTGCAATTCTCTCCACTTACCCCACTACCTACATATTTTTATTATTTTCTAGAATTTCTCATATATATATATATATATATATATATATATATATTATATATATATATATATTATATATATATATATATATATATATATATATATATATTATATATATATATATATATTATATATATATATATTATATATATATTATATATATATATATATATATATATATATATGGTGGAAGAATAAAAAATGGTAAAAAAACAAAAGTAGTGAAGAGATTGAATGAGAGAAAATATGAAATTAATAATATATGATATTTGTTGGGTCCACTAGGTGAGAGAAATGAATTAATATATTGTATAAACTTTCCGAATAAAGAAATGAGGCAAGTATTTAAAAACGGCCAAAAAAAAAAAAGTGGGGCAAGTATTTAAAAACGGAGGGAGAATATATATATATATATATATATATATATATATATATATATATATATATATATATATATATATATATATATATATATATGTATGTGTGTGTGTGATATTACGCTATTTAGGTTTGATATTTTTTCGCAATCTTCAAAAGTAATCCTCACTAATGTAATAAGGAATTGAAGGCATGTATAAAATAAATAAATTGTGCGAAAATGTATAAATGATTATAGCTTACCCCGATGGCTATGTTGAGGGAAGCAAGAGCGGTTGTACTTGCGAGTCTAACTCTATAAGTCTTGTTTGGAAGCACTGAAAGTAATTGTGGTGCGCATTGCTCAGTTCCATTGAATTTGCATTGTGTTGATGATGAGTTTCCGAAGTTTGGCTTCAAGGAACAATTGTATTGCCCTCTTCCATTGATTAGTAGAGTCTAACATTAGAACACACCGATAACAATTAGATCATTAAAAATTTGTATAACGTGTGTACTCTTTTCGTCCCTAAATATTAATTTTGTTATGAGGTGACTATCTTAAATAAAAGTTAAATTAAAAAAGAAAAAATCGGAGATGAGTAGCATAGGAACCTAAAAAATTATAATTATTTGGACAAAAAGTGTTCAAAGTCACTACACACAGCTTCATATAACCATAAAGGGGTCAATTTCAATTGGTCAATAACTGTGAAACAAGTGATGTCTACTTTATTAAAATCTCTAATAAATGGGATGAAGAATAATTTTTACCTTTGTTTAATCGTTAATGCACGTGTAATCATGCTTTAAGAACAATAACAGTTGATTAAATTATACAAAGATTACCTTTTGTACTTTTGCTTTGCAATAAAGATAGCTAAATAAAGGTTTGATATGTTAGTATATATTCTCAATGGCAAATATATATATATATATATATATATATATATATATATATATATATATATATATATATATATTCATGGCAATTTTAACTCAAATCATCTAAAAGGAAACATAATCATTGCAAAATTAAATGTTAGAAATGATTAAAATATTAGGAGGTAGCACTTGAAATTTGAATCCAATCAATGGTATAACTTTACATTATTTGTATATAGTAATGCTTTATACATCAAAATTCTACCTCAATTATATATTATGTGCAACTTTGAGATATTGTTTATAAGATATATAGAAATTTAAAAGTTGTATATATACATACGTACTAATATGGGTAATATGTAATAGAGGTAGCAAATAAATCTTAATAAAAATTACCTGTGGTTCGCCTATCCAACGCATTGGATTGGAATTCAAGCCAACTTCTTGTTCATGAATGCTTTGGTGCCACCAATCACTTAATAATAAGTTGAACTCCCCATCGTAATGAAATGGCTCATTTTGTCCTTTTGGTAATTCTACTATCAATGATCCATATAATCCTGCTGATCTTTGCATACCATAATGTCCATGGTAAAAATATGTTCCCACCTACACCACATTTGTAAATTGTAATGAGTGATGATATATACACGCTCGTATAGTACGTATAGAAGTCCCACCTTATTCAAAAAATTAGATATGGACACTAGGATTCATATAAATGTATCGTCCTAGATTAGTTACACATTTGTAAAATACAAGATACTATTACAAATACAAGATGCTATTATGCTTATTTGTAAATTTAAGATCAATTCTCATTTGCGATGCAATGCTAATACATATGACCTATTATATAGCTAAGATAATTCGGAATATATTTATTTATTTGGTATAATTGTTATTTTTCTGAAAAAATTTATATACATATGCAAACTTAAAAGTATATTATGGGAGTACTTTTTATCTTAGTATTATGGGACTTATCAAGTTGATGAGGGGAAAATCTTTTCACTAGACAAAATCAAACTTAATTATTAATTTATTATAGTGCACTTTCACTAGAATGGGCAGAAATGAGATTCCTACACCTTATCTATTTACAGTATTACTAGCTTGTTACCTAACTTGGTGACCAAACTATGTGGCTATGGCCCGATGAATTTGGGCCTACTTTTTTTTTTTTTTTTTAATTTTTTTTTTTTAAAAAAAAAACCCAAATAAGAATTATACTAAGTTCAAACATGAAAGTCACATATTTGTATGATAAGTTCGAACGATACATTAATTTTAACCGTTTAAAACTACAACTTACTCGAAAAACCTATTCATAATACAAAGTAATTAATTGATGTAAGTTGTGCAATGGACAATTTAAAAGTCAAATCATTGAAGTTGTGAGGTGAAATAAATGGAAACCAAATCTATTATAGACTATAGTGGAGATGTTGTCACGTATACGAAGTAATTTCTTGGTTTTTTATACTTACAATACAATTTTACAGCATACTATTTGAGAAAATGATTAAACTATGTAAATGAAAGAATAAGGCTATAAAATAAAAATTACAATAGTAACTTATCATATTTCTTCTTATCGGTGGTGATAATATTTTGACAATTAATTTATCTGTTTATCTAGTTTTATACTCCTTCCGTCCCACAGTACATGAGGCGCTGGACTTTTTTTTCACTATTCATATATTAAGTTTGACCATAATTTTTTACTAACATAATAAAAGTATATTTCATCACAAAATATGTTGTTAGATAGGTTTTAATATAAAACTTCATAATATAATTTTGCAAATGTTTTTTTATTAATATTTAATTATGTAAAAATAAAGTCAAACTAGTATATTGGCATGTGCCCAATGTTTAACTGTGTTATGTATTATGAGATAGAGGAGTATCTCTTTTAAAGTGTGTGTCAAAACACCTTGTTAGTAGTAAATATAAATGGAAGAAATATTATTTATGAACATAATTATACTTAGCCTTATCGTAACAACTGGCACCACTCCTTACTTCAAAGATAAATTAGAGATTCCTATGAACTTTACACACAAGGAACAATAAGCAATGATAAATGGGCGTGACTATGTGATCGTGTAATAATAATCTGTAATCCTAGCTATTTTCCTAGGACTTTATAAATCAGTAATAATAATAACAAGTAATGATAGATGGCGTGACTATTGATCATGCATGTAACAATCAATAAAATTATATCACAAATATAATTAGATCTAAGTCAAAAAATACTATAATTAGATTAACAACAATTTATACTATTATAAAGTTTTCACATGCATGGAATTTTATCTTTACACGTACGTACATCACCAATAACAATTGCTAATTGTCGATTATACTTTAATAAATTCTGATTCTAATTAATTGCAATCTTGAGATACAAGTCAAATAGATTAGGTTGGTTGCCTTCGAAGATAAATGGAATACTCTATAATATGCTCATTGCTCAACCGCGTAATCATAGATAGTAGGTATGACCACCTTTAACATTAGTAGAATGAAATTAGGATACTTTCTTTTATAAACTAAATTATTTTATAGTTTGTCAATATTACTCATATTAGATTAATAACAACCTAAATTCGTAGGGTCAAAGAAGATTGAAAAGAAAAGATTTAGAATTGTCGAGTATTAATTGATTAATGCGTAATTTTAGCACGAATAATCCTCAGTTTTATACCAGGATCATTTTAGAAAAGTTATTTAATGTCTATATACATCTCTAAAAATTGTATTTGTACTCATAACTAAAAAACATTACATGCTAATTTGTGTTTATTATCTAATCCAAGATATGTTGTTAGAGATATCAGAAAATTTTCCAATATCTCTAACAAGATTAGTTATTGAGAGACGATTAGTCATTGATAGCAATCAATGACACAACTAGTATAATTAAAGTGCATATTTATATAATGATAATTCAATTATATTCATGAGGTGACTGAGAACATTGATAACTAATTTCAGACAGAAAATAAGATTAACCAAAAAGGAAGAAATAGTTCAAAGATGGTAAAATGCTATTACCTTGTCAACAACGAATCTATAAGCAAAAGTCTGTCCAGGATTAATGGGACATTGAGAAATTGATGCAGTCCCATCTGCCCACGGTGTGTTTAGCTGAAATAAAACAGAAATAAACCCTAATTAATTAATCAACAAAAATCTTGAAATTTGTACAAATTAAACATTAGCTTTGGTTATTACTTACATTGTTAAATGTTAATTAAAGTTGCAAGCTATAAGCATTGCACATGCAAAGATTCCAAACTCCATAATTTTTTATATGGGATGTTCATGCTAATGTCCAAATGTTGTCCATACTACATGTGTTTTTTAACATTAAATAAACTTCTATTCATTTTTCTTTTTGAAAATCATAGCTTTAATTTCCATGTATACTTAAACTAAGCTAATACAAGTAGGTGTGGTACTAAGTCATTATCAAGATTAAAGTATGCAAAAGTCTAAAATAATAGGTGAAATTTTGTTAAGATTGAGTATGTATGGACGTATAAATCCAAAACATAGTGGGAAAGCTAAACTTAATTAAACTCCTTATAATTATAAATATCCTTTATTCACGGCTTTAATTTTGGACCAAATTAAGGATTGCTTTTGAAATTATGATCATAATCAAGTGTAAAGATTGTAAACCCACTTTAATTTATGAAAAGAAATCACACCATTATTTAGGAATTAGAATAGCACAATAATTTGATATAAAATTGTGTAATATTAATCAATAAATCAAAGTTTTGATTCTATAATTAAGTGAAGTCTACTACAAGAACCAAAAGTGATTATTACATGTAATCATCCACAAAAATAGTTACTAAGCTGTTATAAAAAGAATCCATGATGAAATTTTTGACGAGTATATTGATGCATGTATTTCAAAAAGGCTAGGTAACGATATAGGTCAACTAATATGGCCCTAATAATCTTCGTTCATTTTATGTCAACTTCATCACTATCATGTAATAAGTAGAGGTATAATTGATGAACTATATTAGCTAAGTGCGTAAAAGACTATACAATGTTTTAGTTTTTTTTCCTTACAATTTTCAATAGTTAATAGATAGTCATTTTGGTATTACTTATAGACATCAAAATAATTATTTACATTTCTAAATAAAGGTTGTTCTCTTTACTTAGCAAAACTAAGTGTTTAGTTTAGTAAGTTCGGATAAGTTCATTTAATTTTCATTCAGGTCCAACAATATCTATTGTGTAATAGATTCAATCAAGTCGTATGAATCAAATCCAAAGAATATGCTTTCCTGAGATTGTTTATTGCGGTAATCATGTTTGATAAGTTTTAATCAAGTTTAGTAATCTCATTTCAGATAAATTCAGATGGTATTAAAGAGGACGCTCTTGTTCCTCCTAGAGAGGGTAAAAAAAGAGAAAACCAATAGAAAAAAAAACATTAATTTTTCATTATTAAATATTATAGATTGCCGTTCTCCATACCAAAACCAAGTTGTGCATAATGGGATAGGAATCAAAATCGATCTGATCAGTTCACTCCCCCTAGTTTGCAACACCACCAGTCCACCACCCATATTTTAATAATGTAACTATGTAAGTACTAATCCCATTTCAAACTATATTATTATAATGACAATTATCTGACAAAAGAAGTATAAAAGAATACATACAACATAATTATAGATGTGAATGGACAAAATCTCAACAAACAAATTGTGTCGAGATCCGATTGCTCAATTGCAAGATTGGCCATAATATACTATGTGGCATAAAAAAAAACTTATATGCTCTCAGATTTGCCCTTTGTAACACATATAGAATGATAAATATACTTTATTTGAACGAATAGGTTTACTAGTCAGATTAATCGTGCGCGTATTTTTGAAACAACCAGTAAAATGACAACAAAATCAAGTTATTTATATAATGTTGATGAGAAAAACTTTTTATTTTTCCTTAACTTTGATTAGTTAAACTTTTATCAAACTTAGGTAATGTATAATTCGTTAATGCTCATCCAACTTAATTAACTTGGCTAATTTTAACCTATGCTATTAAAAAACTTTTTTTACTATTCGAAATTATTTTTGCAGAACTTAACTTATTTTTGCTTTAAATATTATATTATATTTTTAAAACTTATTTGAATAAGCAAAGAAGAACAAAGATTCAATATGTCAAACGTGAGACCTATTACTACAACGGAAATGAAAAGGCCAACATGGACCAACCAAAAAAGTAGTTCAAGCAAAATGTATAGTAGGTTTACCTGTCTAATACCATGCCAATGAATAACAACACCTTCAGTACCAAGCTTGTTGGTAAGGTCAACATGTATGATGTCGCCGACCTTAGCACGTATGGTTGGTCCAGGGAACTGGCCGTTAATCCCCATCACCACCCTCTCCTCGCAATCTGGTGACCAAAACATGTACTCCACGTCCCATTTGTAATGGTGTACCCTCGCCGATGATCCTACAACCATCGACGATATCACGCTACACCATAGCGTGAGGAATAGTACGAGCCTTGGCCTTGAGTTGGCCAAGGAACAAGGAAACGTACTCATAATAATAGTAGTTGATGTTCAAAGAAATGATTAACACACCAACTTGTTAATAAAAATGTTTGTTTAAGGTTTACACATACGTCGATCTTATATATATAGCCTGGTGAGCTAGTGTGTTGTGCTACTTTATGACTTTATATATTCGTCCGTTGTCCTCATTCTTAAGCATAATTATTTTATAATTTCTTCATCACACGACAATCGTTGTAAATTTTGTGGTAGAATTCGAGACTTTAACTAATCACGCTAGTTTTTATTTATTTTTTACAATTAACTGTAAGTGAGGGTATAACGAGTAATATATCGGGTTAATTTTACTTTGATATTTATATTCAAAAGTGATTAAGCATATTATATAGATCTTTGTAAAAAAAAAAAAAAAAAAGGAAGCTTATTATATATGAGAATTTATTGTAATCTTATTGACTTTCTACTTGGGCTCTATTTAGCGGTAGCGTTTCAGGTAACGGTACGGTTAGCGTTGAACCAAGTCAAAAGACTAGTAGGAAAAAATAAGTTTGTTTGGTAGGTAGCGATTCATGTAGCGATTAGCAATAGAGGTACCGTTTAGACATCTTTTGTAAAACGTTAATACTACTACGTATTATTTTTGAAAGCTAGCAAGTATCTTTTGACAAATTTTATTTACTATATGAATATTATGCATGTATTTTTATTGTATTTTGACATTTCAATCGCTAGTTTTACCAAACACTCATACTATTAATCGCTACATTGACAGTTAACCTTTACCTTCTATTAAAAATCATTCATTGGCTATTGACTGATGATGATTTTATTTTGTTTAATTTATCCTTTTTTTTAAAGGTGAAGAGAACACACCCTAAGTTGGTTTTGGATTTGGATTTTTTTTTTCCGGTAAAAGCCTTAATTAGCTATTATCATAATGCAATATGTCAATAATAACCTAGTAGTTCTTTTAACATTTTTTTTTAGTAGAAAGAGTTTTAATCAAAGGAATCATTAGGCGGTTGTTGGAGTATTACTGATGTGCATCGAGACTCCTTACGACTATATTTACCATTTTATTTGCAACCCTTTTGATTTTACCTTACTCTTAACGTATGATTTTTACCCGCTTTAGCTATAAATAATTAAATATAGGCCTAGATTTGCTATAGCTATAAAACATACGAAGTCATCCAACCTACAAAAAAAATAGTGGGAAGCCGAGATACAATCTGGGCCCCCACTCCTCTAGCTATAGCAAATCCTATCCTACTAAATTTATGAGCAACAACACGTGCCCTGTGCCCAAATGTCTTGCGTTGTCGAGAATTTCAACCCGTTTCAGCAATGCAAAAACCTCCTTCTCTAGTTCCCCAAGTGAAGAAAAAAAGAAAGGAATGAAATCATATCAAATCGCCTGACAACTAGATTCGTACTTGACCCGCTTCCGATGAGCCGCATCAACCACAACCCGTCCAGGAATAAAGTCAGATAACCTAGATTGTGTCAAAGGAAAAGGCCATGTGAAGTCAACATAGACATTGCGACCAGATCCCAATAATAAAGAAACACATTTGTAGTCTGAGGGCCCTGTCATTCCCTCTAGACAACCCTATGCCAACCTTCTTTCTCACTGAAATTTCAAATCGATAACAAGCATCAACAAGGGTATCCCCAACAACATTATGTCGATGCTTAATACTTACCATACCAGCACACGACACTGCTTGATCACCGAAAATATCCCCAATTAAACCCTTGAACAAGCAGAGCACGACGTCAATACAAACAATAATATAACACCAACCTGGTAGCACAACACACATCGGTAAGTCTTTTCGTTCAATGTTTGATCCAACCCCGAAATAGGGTCGTCCAAACCTAAGCAGATGTGTGATCTTCTGCTGCAAATTCCACAAGCCTGATTGTCAAGGAGATAAAGAAAAGGTGTGGATTGTGCAAAAGCGGTAACCTTTGTGAAATATATATCTGCCAATTTCTTCATGAGTTTCGGGGCAGCGACCTCACTAGGATTACTTAAAATGTCAAACTCTACCGTTCGATTAAAAAGACTCAATGAATCTTCAAAAGCTCGACCAAGACCAACAGTACCAACATGACCTAGAAGCTTAGTCTGCAACCCAGCAGACTATAATCGAGATGTAAGAAAAGTATAATGATGAATATCTTTTACGAAATAAACACCAAGGCCTCCAAACGCAAATGGTAAGGTGGCAAGCCACTACTGCCAATCGCCAAACCCAATCCCTAAAGCAGTAACAATATGCTCCTAGGAAGAACGAAGGGTCCAATCGATTATGCTCTGATTTGCCTCAAATGTGCTAGGAGGACAGATACACAAGGAAAAGTAGAGCTTAAAAACTCAGGTACATGCCCTAAGCAACAATAACTCACACTAAGGATCATCAATTAATATTATTATTATTATTATTATTATTATTATTATTATTATTATTATTATTATTATTATTATTATTATTATTATTATTATTATTATTATTATTATTACTAGTTTTGGTCCTGTACAATGTACAGATTTGTAAAGTATGATTTACTAATAATAATAGTTAATAGTTGATTGAAATAAAGTTAATTGAAATTAAATGACTTTTGTAATTTTTTTTTTTTTAAAAAATTTGAATTTACGGAAATTTCATGAAATGCCCCTAAGTAATTTTTTTATTCACCAAATACCCATCAAAACTTTCAAATTCACTAAATACTCCTGAGTTTAAAAAAATTTCATCAAATGCCCTTAATGACTAACGGCGGTTAACACCGTTAGTCATTAATGACTAATACGCCACGTGGCAGCCTCTAATTGGTTGTTGTAATATAAATAAATTAATTATTAAAAAAACTTTTAAAAAAATTAAAAAAAATACCCCCACCACCCCCTAGACCCACCCCGCCCCACCACCAGCCTGCCAGACGGCGCCATGCCGCCAGCTCCCAGCTGGAACCGGCGCCGGTCACCGGCGAGGCCAGCCCCCCCACCCTCAACACCCCCTCCCCTACCCCCAGCCCCCTCTCCCTCCGTTTCCCCTCCCCTTAAACCCCTGCCCAACCTCGAAAGCACCCCCCTTCCTTCGCGGCCGGCGCCCAAACCTCCTCCCCGACGCCGGCAAACCACTTTCGCCCCACCCCCCGCCATCCCTACCCTCTTTCCCTCCTAAACCACCACCCTAAAAACCGAAAAACCCCCAAATCAAAACCCTAGATTTCAATTTGGGGTTTTTTCGATTAAAGGGTTTTTTGGTTTTTTGGGTGGTGGTTTAGGGGGGAAAGGGGGTGGGGATGGCGGGGGGTGGGGCGAAAAAGGTTCGCCGGCGAGGGGGTTTAGACGCCGGCCGCGAAGGAGGGGGGGTTTCGAGGGATGGGGAGGGGTTTAAGGGAAGGGGAAACGGAGGGGGCTGGGGGTAGGGGAGGGGGTGTTGAGGGTGGGGGGGTTGGCCTCGCCGGCGACCAGCGCCGGTTCCGGCTGGGAGCTGGCGGCCGCCACCGGCGCCGTCTGGCAGGCTGGTGGTGGGGCGGGGTGGGTCTAGGGGGTGGTAGGGGTATTTTTTTAATTTTTTTTTAAAGTTTTTTATATATATATATTTTTAAAGTTTTTTTAATAATTAATTTATTTATATTACAACAACCAATTAGAGGCTGCCACGTGGCGTATTAGTCATTAATGACTAACGATGTTAACCGCCGTTAGTCATTAAGGGCATTTGGTGAAATTTTTTTTAAACTCAGGAGTATTTAGTGAATTTGAAAGTTTTGATGGGTATTTGGTGAATAAAAAAATTACTCAAGGGCATTTCATGAAATTTCCGTTGAATTTATTAATGTCTATTTTTTGAAAGAATTTAGTAAAAGAATTTTAATTTTTTGAATAGAATTTTTTTTTTTTTAAAAAAAAAGTAAAGCATTTTAGAGGGAAAATTATTCACAAAATCATGCCAAGTGTCCCTCCGATGATTACTTTAGTATATAAGTAAGTGTATATATATATATATATATATATATATATATATATATATATATATATATATATATATATATATATATATATATGTATGTATATATATGTGTGTGTATATATACATATATATATATATGTGTATATATATATGTGTATATATATATATAGGGGAGGGATCCGGTGAGAATAGGTTCATATGTGAGAATTCATACTTATATGAGAACTGATCTACAATTTACAACACGTGAGTAAAAATTTAGAACATACGAGTAAAAATTTAGAACATGCGACTAAAATTTAAATTTAGAACATATGAATAATAATTTAGAACATATGACTAATAATTTTGAACATGTGTGTGAGCAATAATATAGAACATCTAATTCAAGAATTAGAACATGTGAGTAAAAATTTACAAAAATTGCTTTATGAAATTTAGAACATATGATTTAAATTTAGAACATCTGATTTAAAATTTGGAACATGTGAATAAAAATTTTAGAACACTTGGTATAAAATATAGAAAATGGGAGTAAAAATATTGAACATATAATTTAAAACATAGAACATGTGAGTAAAAATTGGAACATATGCTTTCGAATTTAGAACATATAACTAAAAATCTTAAAACACATGCACGTTTTAAAATTTAGAACATATAAGTTAAAATTTCGGAATAAGTCATTCGAAATTTATAACATCTAACTTAACTAATTTATGGTTTAGAACATATGTGAGTATTAATTTAGAACATCTGATTTTAATTTAGAACACCAGGGAAAAAGTTTAGAATATCAGATTTAAAATTTAGAACATACGAGTAAAAATTTAGAACATAAAAAGTGTTCTCACATAAGAAAAATTCTCATATAAGAAAAATTCTCACGAGAGCCTCCCCCTATATATATATATATTATTTTTATTTTTTTGTTGTTGTTGTTTTCCGTTCAATGTGATTACATAACATTCGTATAATGGCATGGTAATGCTATACTATTTTTACATCTTTTTATAAACCTAAATTATAAATATGGTTGGAGGTCATTTGTGGTTTGAGGTTTGAGGTTTGAACCACCAACCATCATTTTAAATTGTGTTATGTGGTGTGGTTTGGCTTAAGTAATGGT